GACAAAAATCTTGAGAATCTTACAGGGCTCTTTGCTTACTTTTCTTTTGTGCTCCTAATTTAAAAAATTCAGATCATAACAAAAATTAGCCTTCCCATTACGAGGTGATATTTGACTCCTTAAAGTGATTTACACTGGCTTTTTAAAATTTTATTTTACATTTGTGATGGCATTTTTTCCAACTTTATTTGAAAGCATGTCATCTTTTACGTAAAATTCAAAAATTTTTTCAAAATTTCCAATTAAAACAATAGAGTAAGAAGAATAAGTTAGCGATCAAATGAAATCAGTATTAACAAATTTCATTTCCACTACAGAAGCGGCACAGAAGAACACACACGTGGCATATAGGTATATTTACAGACGTTTAATGAGGCTCCGAGGTGGCATGAGTGCAATTACATTCATAAATTAATGTGGAGATTAAGGTTTTAAATATAACATTTTGAATACAGAAATATTAAATTTAAATAACTGAAATTATACCTAAAAATGAAACTGAAACCACCAGCAGGTGGCAGCAAGTCACTGATTTTATCACTGAATCATTCATTCAATTGATTCGTTCAAACGGCTGATTCATTCAGGAACGGAGCAAGTGATGAATAGGTGATTGAATCATTGACTCACTAGATTCGTTTAAAAACGCTCGTTCATTCATAAACGAAACACCGCTGTGTTTGCTCGGAGATGCGCAGAGGCTCAGCTGTGACTTTGTTTGAAACTATTTCCGTTGACGAAATAGAGCAAAATCAGGCAATAGTGTTGTAGTCGGACAATGCGAGTCACTTAATATTAACTTCTTGTTTATTGAACTGTTGTATTAAATCAATATCACATTTGAGAACTCCCTTAATAATCATTAAAAGCTGTCACTCACTTCAGTTCATCGTGATCTCACAAAGTTCCACTATAATCAACGAAGCGCCCTACACTGCACAATGAATCTCGTATTTACACCCTGTCTACACTTTGCTTATGAAAGGATTCGTGAGATATGTCTGTGAT